CACTCAGAGCAAATGAAAAAAGTCAGAGATAAACAGTACATAGGTTTGTAAATTATTGAGCTGATAAAAACGATTTTTGTAGTTTATTAATAAAACATAGATTCCGAAAATTATATAATGAAGTCGCACACGCTTTTGTCACTCCGTGTGGATTTTGTATTCCAGCATTTGTGTAACATACATTCACCGCAGTGACTATATTAAATATTAGTTTAAATGAAAATTTAAAGCGCATCAATAAATCAATCCGTTATTTCAACATCACGTGATGCTCTACCAGCTTAAGTCGTAGTCGATTCACAAGAAGATATACGATTTCGTAGGCATATCAACTAGGATGAATATTCAGACAAGACAAAGATTATGATAAAATGCCCAAAACAAAAGATTCCACGGTACTGAAGTATATCAGTCAAGGAAAACTTTACGGATAGTTACTAAAATCATCTGCTGAAGTAAAACAGAAAACAATGGATCAAGTTATGCTGAACATTACAAAAAAAACAATGTCACAGTTGTTCAAGGATGAAGCTTTGACTGCCATTGTATTATTATTTATATTGAAGCATGAGATATTATCAATTTCCCTTTTTTTCAACTTTCGAGATCTTGAAAGTAATTGACAAGGAACTTGAGAAAAAAAAAATCAGAACATTCTTGCGGATAAGTTAATTTTCACGAAATAGTTTTCTTTTTCATCAACTAATCGTATAACATTAATATTTTTGCCTTTCACTAAGATACTCTTTGTCTATTTCGCGACTACCAATTTAAAACACGCAGATAAAAAAATGTTGCAAAATATATTGCGGTGAGATTCTATTTCCTTTCTCATTTATAAATGTACCATTAGAAATAAAATACTAGATTACGTTTGGGTCTGATAAAATCAAAACTTATATCCAATAGTAATCAGCCTTTTGTTGATTTCCGCAACATAAAATAGTGCTTTCATAAGAATAAAGGGGAATATTGTCCGATACCAACTATACGAATAAAAAACAATCTGCTTTAATTTTATTACATGGTTATGGTAAAAACATTTTGTGTTACAAACGCAACGCTTTCAACTGTTATTAAAAAATGCAAAACCAAATTTTAACTGCAATACAGTGATAGACCACAGACAAAGCTTTTCAAGTGCGCAAAAGGAAATTTTTCTGTAAGTCACTCCTTACGAACTTTCTCTGGCACAATCCTTAGCTCAAACGCACAAATAATGTGTAACCCTATGAAAGACTCTGATAGTTAGCCAGACACTGTTTAATCTAAAAACCTTACAACATACTGCAAACGCTCAATACGATATAGAATACCGATTACAAAGTCTGCAACACGGACGAATGTCCTCCTTACAACAAGACAAATAAAAAAAATTCAAAAAACTTCATTTAAAGAAACAGCTACCATTCGCTGTAATGTGGGGCTAGAAGAGTCAAAAGTTTCATAAAATTACAAATAAAAAGCTATCCATGCCAATATGCTTAGAAACTGATGAAATCAATCATTTAAAAATCTAGAACTTTCAAGCATGTAGGTATGAAAAACTTCATGTATAGAAACTCCTCGAATTTCATGATATCAGCCGTTTCAACGTTTAAAATTTTGAACCATGCAGATGTAAAAAACTTCTATATCGAAACTCCTAAAACTTGATGGTGGTACTCTTTTAAATGTTTAGAATTCTGAACTATGTGCAGCTGATAAAATTTTTAAATAGAAACTCCTAGAAATTGATAATATCATGCATTTGAACGCTTAGAATTTTGAATTATGTAGATATACAAAAACTTTTATATCGAAACTCCTAAAACTTGATAATATCAGCCGTTTAAAGGTTTAGAATTTTCAACCAAGTAGATACGAAAAAATTCGTGCATGGAAACTGCTAAAATTTGATGACATCATTCGTTTAAACGTTTAGAACTTTGAAGCATGCAGATTTGAAGAAATTTATGTATGAAAAATTCTAAAAATTCATTATCTCAGCCGTTTAAACGTTTAAAATTTTCAACGATGGAGACACGAAAAAATTCATATGTGAAAACTCCTAGAAATTCTTAACATCAGCCGCTTAAACGTTTAGAATTTTGAACTATGTAAATATAAAAAAATTTCTATATCGACACATCTAAAAATTATTGACATCAGGCGTTTAAACGTCTGAATTTTTGAAGCATGCAGATATGAAAAAATTCATATGTGAAAACTCCTAAAAATTCATAATATCAAACGTTTAAACATGTAGAATCTTGAACTATGTAGTTATACAAAAATTTCTATATCGAAACTCCTAAAAATTGTTGACATCGGACGTTTAAACGCTTAGAATTTTGAAGCATGCAGGTATGAAAAAATTCACATGTGAAAACTCCCAGAAATTCTTAATATCAACCGTTTAAACACGTAGAATTTTAAACTATGTAAATATCAAAAAATTTCTATATCAAAACTTCTAAAAATTATTGACATAAGTCATTTAAACGTTTAGAATTTTGAACCATATAGATATGAAAAAATTCATGTATGAAAACCCCTCGAAATTCTTTATGTCAGCCGTTTAAACGTTTACAATTTTGAACTATGTAAATATAAAAAAATTTCGATATCGACACTTCTAAAAATTATTGACATCAAGCGTTTAAACGTCTGGATTTTTTAAGCATGTAGTTACGAAAACATTCATATATGAAAACTCCTAGAAATCCTTTATATGAGCCGTTTAAACGTTTAGAATTTTGAACTATGTAAATATAAAAAAATTTCTATATTGAAACTCCTAAAACTTATTGACATCAGGCATTTAAACGTTAAGTATTTTGAAGCATACAAATATGAGAAAATTCATGTATGAAAACACTTGAAAATTCATTATACAGCCGTTTATACGTTTAAAATTTTGAACTATATAGATACGAAAAAATGCATACATGAAAATTGCTAGAAGTTGATGATGTCATTCGTTTAAATGTATAGAATTTCGAAGCATGCAGATATGAAAAAAATTCATGTATAAAAATTTCTAGAAATGCATTATATCAGCCGTTTAAACGCTTAAAATTTAGAACTATGTGGATACAAAAAAGTTTACATCTTGAAACACCTGGAAGTCAATGAAACTAGCCGTCTAAACGGTTACTATTTACTATAAAAAAGGTATCCGAAATATTTGATGCTGCACTATGTTGAAATACTGAAGCACCCATCGTTTAAATGCTTGAACTTTCTGAATAGTTAATCTAAAAAATATATGGAGAAAATAACGTCTAGAACTCTCAACTTTGAAGGATGAATGTCGTCAGTAATTATTGCAGAAATCCGAATCATAAAAGTGTTGGGGAAAACGCTCAAAAATCTCAACTTTTTGATGCGTGAAATGGGTTTTTGGACCCAATGGCCGTTTACACGATTACAAAGCAAGCTTTCGAGGTGTTAAAACGTCTACAAATATTCAATAGAAAAAAACTGTACGTTTTCACCGGTGGAATTTTAGAATTCTGAGTGTTTACACGGCCATCTTTTTTTTAACGCGTGTAAACGCTTGAAAAAGTCAGTTTTACGGTGTGTACACGCGTTTTTTCGAATTCTTGTCTGCTAGGGTATAAGATAAAAGAAGTGAATGAGCAGAAGAGAGATGTACGCAGAAGTTCTCAGTTGATCAAGATTAAGAGAAGCATTCAAATTTATTTTTCGATTGTTATGCTGTTATTTTTTCGCTATTGGTAGTACCAGAAGATTTTGAATCCGGAAGTATCTTACACGATAAAAAAGTTCGTGGTTATCTCCTTTTTTTCCAAGAAAATATCTTCATAAGAATTTGAAAAAAATTCTCATCATTTTTAATATCAAAGGCCTTCATGCTAATGACTATTCATTGAGATGATCCTTTGCGAAAACTACAATGAACTAAAGTTTTCTTGGATAAAGGCTTAAGTCTTTGAAAATTGCTTACAATTATGCAACTGGCACTACTTCTCAGTGTAGACTTTTTTGCAGGCTGATAAAAACTTTCCCTATCCGGTATCATTTTGTTCAAAAACTGAACTATCGTTAAATGGCATTTATGACGATTCCTTTAAATATTAGCCTACTCAAGGCCACCCTGCTCGTGGGTTTCATATGAAAAACGAAGCTCTTCAGAGGCGAACATCTCATAATAACGCATTCAAAGTAAAGATCAGAGAGTTCTTACGTCAACTATGATTGCACATTCGTTGTTTTTCCCGGAGCTAAAAAATTTCTAATTTTAATGTGTATGATGTTAGAGAGAAACATAATTTATTTTTGAATTTTTTAAAAAAATTTCACATATTGTGAGTATTTATTTATTTTCTGCCCTTTCCACTAATAATAATAGTAGAAATTTCTCGTTATTGGGAGTGTGTTTTATTTTTAGAAACTTCCCGAGTCGATCTATTCCTAATTTGAAACAACAGTAAAATTCTTGTTCAATATATAAAATAAATATTATTTTCAATCAAACTACAACGAATTTTAACGTTCTCATGTATCCATCATCGAAAATAAACGTCAGCGAAAACGTATATTCATTGAAAACAAAATCTCTCTCTCAGAAAAAAAGAAAACCATTTATTTTTCTATTAAATTTCAACGAATGATTCAATGTTCCCCTGTTCCCATCATTGAAAATAAATATCAGCGAAAATCTATAATCATTGAAAACAAAATCACTCTCAGAAAAAAAAAGAAAAGGATTTATTTTTCAAGTAAACGTCAACTAACGATTCAATGTTCCCATTTTCTCAACACTAAAGAGCTATGGAAATGATTCATAATCTTTGTAGAAAAATAGACAACATACTTAGTATAATAACTATGTTTGTGATCGAATATGCTAACGATATTTCTTACTAGAAAGTTCCAATATTGCCATTCCAATCTCAACTGAATTCCAAACACATCTGCCACATATACAAAGGATTATGTCAGGCCAGATCGAGACTCTCCCATCTGTTGAAACAGCAAACTCGACAGAGAATATGGAAAAAGTCGAAAAAAATGATCCATCTCTTCTCACAGAAGCGCCAAAAGATTCAGCCATTGTGGATAATCTAAATCAAAAAGATTCGACAAACGACAACAACAATGGTGAACCAATCATGGCGGCAGTACATTTGCTTCAAAACCCGGTTGATACAGAACCTACTGTTGTTCATGATACATCTAAAGTTCAACTTATGGAAACAGAAAATGATCCATTGGAGCAAAATGAAAAACCAAATGATATGAAGAATTCGCTAGATGTTCCAACAATGTCGACTGCAGTTCAGGATATGGACACTAATCAAATGGAACAAGGCGAAGAATCGAATAACATTGAGAATCCGTTGGACGTTCCGAAAACACCGCTTACACTGCAAAAAGATACCAAAGACGACGGTAATTACTTATTTCTTTTCTTTATCAAAATCGACTATTTTTTCCGATCACGGATAATTGCATTTGCTCTGACGATGGCTTGACGTTTTATTTTAGAAATGGATCAATCACTTCCAATCGATTCCAGATGTCAATTTCGAGCAGGTAAAATCGAAAGCTCTTATTTCGAAGAATTTTTCCGATACGATGGTTCAGAATATCAATACACTCTAGAGGAATATCTATCTTTAGAGCAATCTTGGGTTGATCTCAAGTTTCATTCAGATAATGCATTGATCAAGAAACCTGATGAACTTGTATCGGAAATGAAAGATCCTCCAAATAATGTCGACACTAAAATACTCAATCGCATCAAGGGATCGATGTTTGGCATGGCTTTGGGTGATGCTCTCGGTGCCCATGTAGAATTTCGACCGCAATCGTATCTAAAGGCAAATCCGGTGACTGATCTTGAGTCAGGCGGGACTTGGGGCTTAGAGAAAGGACAGGTAAATCATTTTTTCTACTGTTGAACTTGTTTATCTGCTAGGAAGCATTTCCACTGGTCATTATTTGAATTCTACAGAATTGGTCCGTCAACTAGATGTTGAGATACGGAGTATAACTATTGCTTAACACTGGATATCATTCTCATAAGATTATGCGACAATTACTTGTCTCAAAATACTAAGATCAGTAGCTAATTGTCGAATAACTCTGCACTACAATCAGCTATCAACTTTGGACTTTTATTCTTAGATAAAGCCATCTTAAAACCTTTGATTGTATTTGATTCATTAGGTTGGAAGTATGGGTAAGATTTTATCTTCACTTTACTAGTTACTAGTGAATAGTAAGCACCATATGTACTAATTTAACATATGTACCTTGCAGAACAGTAAAGTAAATATATCATCCCTAGTCGGAAGAAGTTTGTCATAGATGGTTTGAAGAATAAGTCCTTTTTAACACTTTTTTCGTAGTTTGCACCCACCATCAAAGCATAAATTACGCGATAATATAGTCTGAAGAATGCTGAAAACATAATGAAAAATAGAAATTTAAAAGCAATACTCTTGAAGTATATTTTCAAGAGAACGCTAGAAAGATGTATCAGTTTCATCACGTATTCGGCTTGCTTCGAATTCCGTTTTTCATATGATGTAAACTTCCCTGACTTGAACACTCTACAAAAAACGTTGTTCGCACAATTCCGATGAGATTAAAATGTAAAATACGATGTAGCTGCTCTTGTTAATCGCAAGGACATTGTTTTATTCTATCTATTTTGGTACATATTTTTTTACCGTTCTTTTAGTTAACCTTGCAACAATGTGATAAGAAAGTAGTTTATATGTTATAACAAGGCGTCGTTGATATACTATCTTTGATCGTATATCAACGACGTCTGCCACGTCTCTAAGGGCAAGGGACGATCTAATTTTATACGCCTGTACGCCAACACTCCTTTTATGGTAGGGAAAAGTTCTTTAGTAGAGATATATCAACGAAAAGTTAGGAACTAACATAACAGAAAATGAAAAACACGAACACTTTTTCTCATTTTGTCATAATTTCCGTTCTTTTTTCGTATTGCATCACATTTAAAGACTAATTTTTCAGTTCTCAAAATAGTTGGACTCTTTTGTGAAGGCATTTGATCCAATTAAATACCTGATCAAGTCAAAAAAAAAAAGCAAAAGTGAACATTTTTAAATCTCGAGAGATTTTCGCGTGATAAAGATATAAATAAAGACTAAAATGTACGTTTTTTTTTGACAGAAATTCTTTTCACCCATGGAATATTTCACGATTTCAGTGATGCATGAGATAACAATAAGAAATGATCAGAAATTTTGTTATAGTTTAAAATGTTTGATTATACAAGGAGTCATTGCTTGCTAACATCGACTTATACAACAAATGAATGTTGATGACCTTTTTTATTTTAGCAAATTTGTTTTTTCTACTATACTTTTTTACCAATTTTGGCTAACATTATAAAGTGTTCGTCATAATTCAAATGTTTTATGTTACATACACCGAATCTTTATTCCAATTAGTGATACAAAGGATTGAGAAACATAGAATTCGAAAATCAAATCTATAAAAGATAGTTAATTTGTCGCTCTCTTAATTCCATTTTCCCGCAACAATCTGCATCAATTGAAAGTCTATCGTTCGAAGATAAAATTCTAACATAATGAACTATTTTAGTTTACTGACGATACTTCGATGGCTCTTTGCCTGGCTAATTCATTGGTGGCTCGCCATGGCTTTAACCCCTATGATCAGTTAGTTCGCTATAAATGGTGGTACAAGAATGGCTATATGTCTTCTACAGGACATTGTTTCGATATTGGTATGGCCACCAGACAGTCTGTATCTGAATTTACACGTCGCCAAAGCCAATTCGCTCAACTTCACAAAATTCCTTTCGAACAGCTAGACCATCTCTCAGACTCTAGTCTAATTGATAAATTTGATGTATTCTGCAGTAACGATGGGGTAGCGGGTAATGGAGCTCTGATGCGTCTAGCGCCTTTGCCTCTCTTCTTCTATAAGTATCCAAAACACGCTGTCGAATATTCTGGTATTAGTGGACAAATCACTCATGGTGATAAGAAATCCTATGATTCCTGTCGTTACTATGGTGCTCTTATAGTGGCAGCTATGCAGGGTGCAAGCAAAGACGAGCTACTTGACGATGAGTTTTACTGCAAACATCAAGATTGGTTCAGCGGTAAAGCACTCGTTCCAGATGTCATGAAGATTGCCAAGGGGTCATACAAACGAAAAGGTGGATATGATGAAGGTATTCGAGGAAAAGGACACATTGTGAGCGCTCTTGAAGCTGCTTTATGGGCGTTTTGGAGCGATGATAATTCATTCGAAAAGGGTGCTCTTGCTGCTGTCAATCTTGGTGATGACACCGACACAACAGCCGCTATTTATGGGCAATTAGCTGGCGCCTACTATGGCTACGACAACCTATCACCGAAATGGCAGGGCTTTGTGTATGCCAAAGATTATATTACATATTTGAGCAAATGGATTGCCTTCGAAGCAGAGAAGTGGGTTCCGTGTGAAGAAGATAAATGGAATTTGACAAAGCTTTCTGCTCTAAATGCTGATCCTCCGAGTTCGAATACTGAGTCTAAGCAGAAGCCTTCTTTGAATACCAATCCAAAAAACACACAGAAGCTTGCTCCTTTATCGCAAAAGTGAAATGTTACACTATCAATTACGGAAAATAAAACGAGCAATTTAGAAGATATTAACACATTCGACCCGGGTGTGAATGTGAGTGTGGGATGTGGGCAAGGGGGAAACAGCAGAGACTTCAGCCGTGAAGTCTCATGAAGTCTTGAAAGTCTTCTGAAGTCTCTTGAAGTCTTATGAAGTCTCATGAATTCTCATAAAGTCTCTTGAAGTCTCATGAAGTCTCATGAAGTCTAATAAAGTCTCATGAAGTCTTATGAAGTCTCATGAAGTCTCATGAAGTCTCTTGAAGTCTAATAAAGTCTCTTGAAGTCTCTTGAAGTCTAATGGAGTCTCATGAATTCTTTTGGAAGTTTTGAAATACATTTAGTGCATGAAAATTCATAAGAAACCAATGAAATTGTCTTGTTTTCGACGGTCTTATTTTAGCAGAAAGGTGAACCTTTTATTGTTTTTTTTTCAATGTGCTGGAAAAAAATGCAAGTTTGTTGGATCTTAGAAAACATGATAGTTAATAACTGAATGCTTTTTGAATGAAGTGATTTATTTTTATAAGAAATGTGTCCATCTATTCGATGTCAATCTTATGAAGAATTTTATTCCTTTTTGTTTGTTTCTATCACTCATGATAATCTATCAGCCGATAAACGGCTAGCTTTATCGGTCAATAACCAACAAGCCGTTTGCTTGTGTATAAATTTAGTCTTGTTATTTATTTGTACCTGAAAATAGGAGTTTTTCAATGCTGGATTAATCGAATCAAATATACGCGTACCCGTAAAGTTTGTTTTCTCTGTTTTAATTTCATCAACGCTTTGTGTCATTGCCATATCTTTATTCTAGATATAGATATACTGCGAGAAACAACTCTCAGAAACTAGAAACACCTTTGTAATCTCTATATGATAAGTTTTGTTTTTTGCATGTTATAGAAGTTTCATGTAATTTCTATAAGGTTTTTTGATGCGCATAAAATCTGCCTCTTGAAGCCTTGTGAAGTCCTATGAAGTTTTATGAAGTCTAGCGAAGTCTTGTGAAGTTTTATGAAGTCTTGTGAAGTCTTATAAAGTTTTGCGAAGTCTGGCGAAGTCTTGTGAAGTTTTATGAAGTCTTGTGAAGTCTAATAAAGCCTTATAAAGTCTCAAGAAGTCCTACAAAGTCTGTGAAGTCTCACAAAATCCGTGAAGTCCGTGAAGTCTGTGAAGTCTCACGAAGTCTTTTGAAGTCTTTTGAAGTTCTCTGAAGTCCCATGAAATCCTATGAAGTCTTGTGAACTCCCTTGAAGTTTTATGAAGTCTTTAGAAGTCTTGTGAAAATATGAAGTCATTATGGTTGAAGTCCGTTGAAGTCTTGAAGTCTGCTGTTTCCCCCTTGGGTATGGGTGTGGGTGTGGGTGTGAGATGTTGATGTGGGTGTGAGATGTGGGTGTGGATGTGGGTGTGAGATGTGGGATGTGGGTGTGGGTACGGATGTCGGTGCGGGGTGTGGGGTGTGAGAGTAAGCGATGGAAGAAGAAAAATCCACAGCCACAGCCACACATTCATATTTAGTGTGTAACAGTGACTTGTCTCCTCAGAATTCTAAATGAATCATAACTAGTTTCCCATCTGTAAATAAGAGATCATTTATGAAGATCACAATGAAAAGAAAGATATAGCTAATCGTGAGTTGAACGATTGATGACTACCATACAGTGAAATATTTTAATTATAAATATATTACTAATATATTAATCAAGCGTGACAAAAAACAAATGTGGTGGCTCTATTTCGTAAGCGTCGAAAGCAAGATTATTTTTTTCCCGACCTGATTCATATATATTGCGTAAGTGGGAAGAAAATTACAATATGTTGGAAATTATTGGATGAATCATCATAAAGTATGATGAAATAAGGTAAAAAGGAAAAATATCGAAAATGAAAATATCAAAAACAAAAATAATACAAATGTAGATAGATAGATATGTTGAAAATGAGAGCATATTGAAGTGTAAGCCTCTTCCACTTGCGGATATGAGTGTGTGGATGTAGGTGTGGGTGGGTGTGAGTGCGGGTGTGACTACAGATCTTTAATTCACCCAAATCCACCCACACCCACACCCACTCCACACCCACACCCACACCCACACCTACTCCACACCAACACCCACACCCACCCTTATCGGAAGATATCTGCACACAATTCCAAAAGTTTAAATTGTCAGTCTTGATCGAATAAGTACTTTATAGATATTGCGGCCGTTTTCAACACCAGAATTAAATAGGACCTGGCCTCAATCACTCACTTCATTTCACTGAGACCTAAATGAAAGTACTAGCAGAAATACTTTATTTTTATATAGATAGATTGAAGAAATTTTTCTTTATCTTAAATAACCATAGACTACTTTCTGCGATATTTCATTGTTGTTTATGTCAGATGATATAATAGAAAATTTTGGATGACAGCTGTCTGTCATGGCGTATGATAATACAACTCAATTAGATTGTTTTTGAAGCGTGTTTTCTTTTCAGAAATGTTGATATGTATACTTACTTGTCTCAAAGGGCAGATAAGATAGAAGAGGATGTCAATATTTTTTGATATATCTCCCATCGAATGAGATTTCCCATCTCATCCTACACGCAGCTCTAACATATATAAATATCATACATACGCCATAGATATACACACACAAATATTCATATTAAGATTGTTGTAACGCAGCTAACAGAAGTAAGCATCCATATTAGTTTCTTTTTTTTTGCTTCTTATAATCAACATTGATTAAGTTAAGTATTTCAAGATCAATAACTATTAGTACCTTCGATATTAATTATTTGAGAGTTAGAATTAGATTTGATCTACTGTCTGAATTCATTAAACTATTTTGAGGATACGTGTAATTCCATGTCTCTGATTTTGCTTCGGTACGTAAAAAGTATATTTTGATGTTTCAGCGCAGTTAGAATTGTTTCCACCCATTCAACGTGATATGGATGAGATTTTATTACTCTTCAGTGGAAACGATCTATACTCATTGTCTACAGGAAAAGCAGATAACAGCACCGAATTTATGCAATAAATGTCATACGTTGCTCAACTTTTATCTTTTTCTTTCTCATATAAACAATTCTTAACCTGATCATCATTTAATTTTAGGCAATGTACGTTCGTTTGATATTATTTTTCTCCATTAGTATTTGTCTTCTTCACCAAGTAATCAGTGATGGAACAAAGAAATTAACACCACCATCGTCATCATCGAAAGGCTCGTTCCTCAATCGAACACTGGAATTTTTGAAAGTAACGGATACAGAAATAATGTACGATTCTGTCATGCAAATGACAATAGATGCCTTTACACCTTTATTGGGACCACTCGCAAGTCAACTAAAACAAACGATGAATGATTGTTGTTCGTATGAAGCGGTGAAATATGATCTTGCTAAACTGTATATGGAAGAATTTACATTAAGTGACATGAATCGAATGATACGATTTTATTCATCACCTGTTGGTCAAAAATTGATTAAAAAACAACCGATATTAATGATCAAAGCGAAACAATTGGGTCAACGAAAAGCACAAGAATATCTTCCAAAATTTCAGGCAATGATTCAAGAACAATTAAACAAACAAATCAACAACTTGAAAAAATAACAAACTGATGTTTTCTCGCGAACAAAAAAGCTTTTTCTTATATTTTTTTTTATATTCAAAACATAAATTTTCCCTAACATTTGTTCCGCCACTATTTATCTTAGAAATATCGCAGGCGAATTTAAGTGCATTGATAAAAACAAGATGTATAAAGTGCTTAAATAAACGATAATGCAGCACAAAATGACGAGGAAAAACATGTTTAAAAATAACCTTAACAAAAATATTTCGTCAAGATATGATTATATTCTATTCACGGAGTGATATCATGCATCAATTAACAAGAACGAGAAAATATTTTTTATTTGTATATGCATTTGCGAAAGATACAGTAGTATGTTGATTACCTTAATATTGTTTATTGCTTGTATTGCTGTTTTTGGTGTTTATTTTTGGACGTTAAAATTACGTTATAAATATTTTGTCCATCAAAATATTCCTGGACCACCACCACCACAGTTCTTCTTCAGTCATTTGCTCAAGAAAGCACACGTCCAATATATATTGTCTCCGATGTTGATTTTTTACATGATGTATATATCAAACAATTTTCATCATTTCATTCACGTCCTACAAATCTCTTTAATCGTATTCTTGATAGTAAAGGAGCGCATTTATTTTCTGCTCATGCCGATCAATGGCGACGTCAACGACACGTAATTAACCCAACATTTACAACATTAAAATTGAAAACAATGACACCACTAATGAATGAATGTATTCAATCGATGATGGTCAAAGTCACCGAGATGAACGATCAGGAATTTAATATATATGCATTTGTATAAACGATTAACAATGGATATTATTTGTAAGTTGAATAAGATTTTCAAATTAATTTACCTTTCTATTTAGGGCATTGTATATTCGGAATTGATACGGATATGAAAAATGATTTGGAAAACATTTATATGAAAAAATCAGCAGCTTGTGTCGCCATCGTGATCGAGAAACTCTTTATTGTAAAATTATCTATTTTAATGCCGTTTCTTACTCCAGTGCTCACTCAAATTGTCAAAGCTCGTTTCTTTCTTGTGGACATGCTGCGTGCATGGTTGCCTTCATTGGCATCTCGTATTGAAGATTTGCCTAGTGTATGGATTATGAAACGAGTCGAAAATGTTGTGAAAGAAAGATTACAATATGGAAAAAAACGAATGGATCTACTTTAATTGATGTTGGATACTGCTACAGATGAGCCAGACAAAATGATCCTTTCTAAAGTAAATTAATGATATAGTTGCATATTATTTTAAGACTGTTATAGGATCATGAAAATGACGAATTAATGTCCAAACATCTACATTATACCAAAGTATTGATGAATGTTTTTCTTTTTTATGATGGCTGGCTATGAGACAACAGCATCAATCTTAGTTTATTCTACCTATGTTTTGGCTACTAAAGTAGAAGTTCAACCAAAATTGCAAGCAGAAATCGATGAACATTAGCAAGAAGATAGCACAAAACTTGATTATGAAAGGATTGCTGATATGACATACATGGATCTATTTTTGCGAGAAGTACTTCGTCTTTACACAGCCTTCAATAAGGTGAGAAGTTGAGAAAGCAATGCCACAACCATTGTTTGTGGTCATCAAATAGAAAAAGGTTAGGGTACTATTGCACATTTATTGCTTGAAAAAAGTTGTCCATGATGTTGATTTATTTATTATTCAATGTAAAGGTACTGTCACCATGCCGGACGTCTAGTCAATCCATCGTAATATTGATCTTTTGGGACCTGAAAATGTTAATCTCTTTATTCCAAAACGTCATCCTGCAGCTTTTATAGGATTCGGCATTGGACCTCGAAATTGTGTGGGAATGCGATTTGCTTTGATGGAATTAAAAATGTGTTTGACGCAGTTGCTGTATACATACAATATTTTACCTGGTGATAAGCTCCATCAAGGAATGACTATACGAGAAACAAATGTCATTGCACTGGATGCCATCTATGTTCGTCTAGAAAAACGAGTGAAATAATTAATTTAGTTTTCAATATTTTTGATAAACTTGTACAAAGTATTGTAACACATCAAATCTTGAACACCGTTTATGATTGCTTTCCTTGTTGATTGTAAATTTTTTTCACTTTCATATTTTTCCCCGATCAAAAAGATACTGAACCCTAGTCAAACATCTTGTAAGCAAGATCTTGGCCAAGATCTTGACTGAAATATCCGTGCTCAAAAATGACCATCGAAAGTCGTTTATGGATGACTCTAAATACTACCGAGATAGTCAAACCGAAGTAAAATTTGACACTGAATATGAATCTGAACTCGGATCACTGCTGTAAACACAAGGAGCCAAGTTAGAGACCAATGACCCGTTCGAAAAACATTCAAAAACGTCATCCTTCGCGAGCATCCTGGAATGAAGATCATATTTTCTTAAACGATTCGGCACAACCTAGCTTCAAGCAGTACCAAAATCATTCGTAACAAGTGCTATCAAGTCAAGATCTTGGTACAAGATGAAAACGTTATTATCTTGTATTTAAATTATCAAGATCTGTTTACATTTCTGTACCTTGGATCTTGGCCAAGATCTTGTCACAAGATATTAAGATCTTGCTTACAAGATGTTTCACTAGGAAAGTCAATCTAATCAAATCCGGGTGAAAAAGGTCGACAAACAAATTAATTTGTCTTACTACCTTATTAGTACATTAGTATCAAAACACCAAAATGTCATGAATATGGCAATAGTCGATGATTTCATTCTTTATTCACTTTAAGCAAACCATGACCAAATAATTCTTCTATGCCATCAACTTCTCGATTTAGTTCATCTCAATGATAAAATGTTCGTCACTTTTAATTGATCTTACCCGATTAAGGTGGATCATAGTGGCTAACTAAATATAACAAAGTCATTTCTTCTCTAAAATCTCATTTCATCTGAAATTAAAACTGCCCATCATGTAAAAAGATGGAAATGGAAAACACAGACAAACAAGTCAAAAAGGAAAATATCCACATCAAAGTTGATTATGCAAATCATTTGAAAATAACATCAATACATTCTCCTCTCAATACTGTTTTCATAATGTAATATTTTGCTAATCCATCATGTAGTTGGTTCGGTTACTTGTAGATGAACTTGATTTAGTTATCGAAAATATATTTTAGTGAGAATTACTAATGTACCATAAAAAGATATAAAAGAGATTGTTGTCTCAATTGCATCATGATTTTTCAGATAAGAATATATTCATGATGATGGTGCATATTTTTCAAAATATTCTTTATATGAAACATGACTTTGATATTCTTCCATGATTAGATGACTTAACATCGTTTAAATGCTTGTATTTAACTAAAATTGACTCTTTTCTAACATTGATATATCTAATTTTGTAAAGATTCGATTGGCATCAATATACGTTTGAATATAAAAACATTGAAGTGTTGATTGAAGAAGAGTGTTCAATGCATAACAACAAACCATCATACCTCTTGATGATCCACAATCACATCCTTCATAAGTGATTGGTATAGTATGTACAATCCATATGAGATGTGTAATATTTTCAGTAACATACTGCCAATTAGTAGAACACCCACTGATCAACATATTTGGACTAGTCATTTCACAAATCAACCTAAGAATGTTAAGAAATAATTTTTGGTATTGTGAGTTGAAATTGATTGATAGTTTCTTGAATTTATTCATTCAACAGTTTCGAAGATAAAAGTTAAAAACTAATAAAATCACTTGTTAATAATTGTGAAAGAGTATCATTGACTATTTCTTGAGAAAGTCGACAAAGTGAAGCTAGTAAAAGAAATTGTCCTGTTGTTGATAATCGATAATCTGTAGGAGAAAATCGAAAGACAAGTTCATCTTGTCTATATAGATACCTAATCCATTGATAAGAAACAAAGACACTTGCACAGATATGATGAAAACAAGATAGAATAATTGATTCGATTGTTTCATTCGATGAATTAAGAGTTCCATTCAAAGTAGAAAAATTATAAGATGATCTTAAAGATTTCGCTAGATATTTGTCTATTTCTAGCATATAGGAACGATTGTAGGAACATTCCAGAGTAGATTTCAGTAATGCATCGATTGGATAACAACCGATAAAGAAGTTTGGAATGGAGAAATGCTTAACGACCACACTATTATCCGTTCTATTTACATCATAAATATCTATGCCAAAAATACACGAAGAAGAGAAAGCACATTCGATAACTATTTGTTATATAAGTGCAGTTCCGATATTCAATAAGCTACTCATCAGTTGATTTTCATGACTACTTAATCGAAAAATTTTGATTGTTCGTAAAAATCTACTTAGAGTTTGATAGTATCAATCGGAGATTGATGAGTTAGCTGGAGATTCAAAGAAATATTGAGAAATAACTTGTGAAGAAAAATATCGTGTTTGACTAAATATTTCGAGACTTTCCTTTACTGGTGGTTCACTTTGTCGACAAAACATGGCTTACACATCTACCATTGAATGAGAATCAAAGAAACAAGAAAAATATAAAATAGTGTAGGTGTTTAATATTATTCTGCGACAGCACCATTCACATTTCTCTCTGTCGTGATCAAAAACCATAGAAATATTATCACTTCGATCATTAGATGTTCAATGTAAAGATGATAACCATCAAATGAAGAATTAGAAAATGAAAAAATATCAACATATCTGATCAGAAGAAATCAAAATAAAAGTGATTATATTTTCATATAGATTCGATAATAATTCACTTTATTCTTACATCTAATTCAGCCTTAAACAATAGGGTATGAATGTAAAAAATAATTATGGACATTCTATATCTAACTTGAGATCTTTTCGACATTTTTCTTTATTTTCCTCGTGCATTTAATCGACTATTTATATAATTTCATATTTTAAAAGAAAAAAAAAACAAATCAATAGTTGTATACTTCATTATGTACCTGTATACAGCTGTCGATATTGATAGAAAGAAAACTTTCTTTTCAAGACAAAAACTACTGACATACTGAATTGAAATGATGTCTTATACATTGAGTAGTAATGCAAATAAAGAACTTGAAAATTTCGAGCATAGAAAATGAAAGAAATATGAACTATTCATGAATGATGTACCGGATAGTTTGCACATATTCATCAGATGAATAAAACACTCTGGAATGATGTATTTATTACGACCTTCCAGTTTTCCAGTATAAATTGGTCATAAGAATCAGGAATGATTGTCATTTGTTGTTGTGTGTAGTCAAATAAAGTTTGTCTCCGATTAAGATCCTTATCAACTGTTTGATGGGTAAAGAAAAAGTTAAAACTTCATTCATTACCCACATAGATCAAGTCTTTTACAAAAAATCCTGATTTTTTAAAAGTTTCATGTAGTAAAAAGAGCTATTTATCTGCTATTTTCAACGTTATGATTGCTGAATTTTTATTGTCTCATCAGTGATTCAGTTATAAGTTAAAGGTATATATTTTTCAGCTTGTTTTTTCGTTTGCGCACGCTTTTATGTTTTCAACAGTTAGCTGTGGTGCACATAGGAAGCATACATAAGGGAGAACACAGACTTCGCATCCCTCACCCCTTCTCAAAATAACTAGTGGAAAAAGCTCTACAGATTATGTTCGAATGAAAAGTTTTGTGAATACTTGAAGTATTTTATGGTTTATTGCTCATGGAAGTATTTTATAACAATAATATAGTTTTGTTTTTTTTCATATAATTTTTTTCTTAGTACTGAATTTTGTTTTCATGCATTTCATATTCAAGGGTTTTTTGAATTGAATAGGTATATATATATATTGTATAGTTTTAATACATGAATCAAAAGAAAAAAGTGATGCCAGACTTTTGATCAGCAATGTATTTCAAAACAATTAGTGCAAAATGACAAGAATGAGGTCTACTGATCATTATCGATGTCAAAAGTGATTGTTACCCCCATATGTTTAGGAATAATTGCATCTCCTCCATCTTCTGAATATCCGCCGGAATTAACTACTGAACCACCATCACCAAATGTCACATGTTGCATCAGTCGAGCACAAAACGATTTTGATTATAAATCGAGCCAATTCTTGTCCGACGCATTGACGGTGACCACCACCGAATGGAATTGATGCGGCTGTATTATTATGACTTTCACTTCCTTCGACTAGAAAACGTTCAGGATGAAATTGATCCAGATCGTTCGATCCAGACCAACAGCGTGGATCAGCGTTGGAACCGGTACCGGACCGGTTTAGAAAGTCAACCGGGCCGGTAAATACCGGAAATTTACCGGTTTAAGTTTAAAAAATATTATCTTTACTTAGCTCTTATTCGGTAAGAAGAACTATGTATTTTGCTATGAAGTAGAACAAATTTTCCATCATTATACATATATGTCCAGAAAGTCTTTCCATAGTGTCAATATTAAAAATTTTGTTCAGTTTATAAACGATATTTATCGCGATGATTGTAATACTATGATAGACACGAAGACAATTAGGCATATGTTTTATCAGTTTTGAAATAGACCAGGCAGTACTATATAAATCAGTTAGGAAAATCTTAATATCCTTTTGAAAAAATGATGATGCTTCATGACTATAAAGATTATGCATATCTTTTCTAAAAGTTTCATAAAAAGTCAAATAATATTTTCTCAAGTACGAATATTGAAATTTTCTAAGATATGCTTATAAAAAAAACTATTCCTAGGTCGATTTCAGTTTTCTGTACTTATGATACGAGGAGCTAAATCATATTGTTTCAACCGTGTTATTTAAATATTAGATAATTCACTTTACAACTAGAAATAACTTTATCAATTTCTACCGTACTTTCGGATGTTTGGAACCATTTTAAAGCGGTAAGCTTGACCGGAAATTGACCGGTTTGCCGGAATTTCACTGGTTCAGAAATGATTAACAACCGGCCGAACCGGACCGTTTTATCTTTTTCTTACCGGTTCCAACCCTGTCATAGACCACATATGATAGTAAATGGTTCACGTTGGTTGGCAAATAATACATTTGTATGTCGTACCATTTGTTTTGATCAATATTTAGTACATGTTAGTATTTGGATTGGAGAACAAGTAAATCTTTCATGATCCTAGAATTTGTTTTTTATTTAGTGTTACATTCTGCACTCCGTTCCTTTGGTTGCCATTACAATCTATTTGCTGTCCTCCTCGACTACCACGCCATGAATATTTGTTGTATCGGTTACAATTGATTATAGACCACTATCACACATCAATATTTATTGTTAGTTTTGTCATCTACACAAGTTTTGGCTTACTCTATATCGTTCGCAGTCGTCAGAATCCTTACAATGATAGTGTAAAGACATTATTTTGCCTTGATTGGTTGATGTTGATATTCTATTGCTTTCCAATAGTTTCCTATTCCTTATGTTGTAAAAAATCCTCTTCTCGAGTTATCATCCTAATCTACATCTTTTCCATAACCCTATTCACGTTCGTTTATGGCGTGAGATCCATATTTCTCAAGAATTCTGCTATTCATGCCGACTTGATAATACCTTTCATCAGTGTCCATTGGCCAATCATCCTTCTGATATACTTCGCTAGATTTACCGAGTTGAATTATTTACTAAAATTGTATAACAGCCTCACCACTTTGAAATAATTTCTTCTGACTCTAATATTCTACATATTCACATAATTGCCTAAATAAAAGTATTGTTTGATTATGAATAGAGCGTGAATAATATTTAAAATAGATTTTTACCAGGAGTATTTTTCTTCTTCATGCTTCATCAAATGTGCACATTTACCGAATATATTATCTCTTGCGGGATGTAGGTGGGTGTTCTATGCATAATCACACCCACACTCAAACCCTCCACCAGAAGGGATGGTGATAAGCCCTTACCTGACATCAAATACAATAATAATAATACGGATAACATGGATTTTGTAAATAAATTGAAAACGTCAATAGATCGAGCAACACCTATAAATTATAAGTAGACCAACACTTGGTCTATCATATGATCTTTCTAAATGAAAATCATTTTTATTTTAATTTTGATGTAATGGTATTAAATAAATATAAAAGATTAACATTAACATTAACATTAACATTATTATTTTTTACTTTATGTTATTTTTATCTTATTAATTGTACGTGTTGTACTCGCATCATTTATTCAACATCGCACTCAACTTTACTAATGATCCAGTTCTGATGATGGTCTTTCAATTGACCGAAAATTTAACATAAGCAAAAAAGAACATTTAATTTTTTATTTTTGACGTTTTTCTATTAAATAATTAAAAAATTAAAATAAAAATGATTTTCATTTAGAAAGATCATATGATAGACCAAGTGTTGGTCTACTTATAATTTATATGTGTTGCTCGATCTATTGACGTTTTCAACTTACCTGACATCGTCTCGTCATCTAAATCCGTCCCATCTCTTATTAAAATCCTAGCTCTGATGCTTCATATGATACTTCTACAATCAATAAAAAAAAAAGAAATAGGACTGGAAAAATTAAGTAGTAGTATATGTGGCAGAAGACTCTATTAAGTCTTGTAATTTACTTCGATGAAAAAATCTTAACCTAACATAAAAGCTTTACTCTTTTGATGAGAGCATTTAAATTCAAGCCATCTAATGAGACTTCCTTGTTAGTGGAGTCAGAATCAACCATTGACCACTCTTGCAGAGTGGAATATGATAAAGAAGTTTCGTCTGATGTGAGTGACCGGCGGAGTTAATGCCTTGAAAAAGACCAATGAAGTTTATTCTACATTCTATATCAAGCATGTATATTGTATTTGCCGTGCAAAAAAAGAGATACAACACAATAAAATATAAAAAAAAGATCAGAAATCCCGAGGAATTACTGGTTCATAGATCGGCAAGTAGTACATATTTGCCCATACATGTGAAAGACAGACAGATGCATGAAAACGAAAAAGGATTTGAAGTGGTGTAGCAATTGCAGCAATGATCGACCATGGAATAACATGATAGAAAGCCAATTGAAATGGATTTGCTTCATGTTTAGTTGTTGTTGTTGTTTTTACGAGCCAGAGACTTAGATCAAGCATGATTAATAGAATGATCATTTCACGCGCTGGATATTCATATTTATTCGTTTGTCTTTGACGTTTGCGCAATGCAATGAGAATGAACAATGCTTGAACGGTACCTTCGACGAATTCTACAAGAGACAAAATCATCAATAAGATATACATTATTCCAATTGTAAACTGAACCGACTCAAAGATCAGTACAGCATATCACACATTTGTCGATAACTAATCTTAATCCTCTAGTCTAACACATATCATACCTAAAATAATGATTGCTACTTTAACATAGACGATCCATGTTGATGAATTCAGGTTACTAATGATAGCGAAAGCACTGAAGATCGAATACAAATAGATGCCTGTTAATGAGATAATGATAAGGACATCGTCGAAACCTATTGGGTAGAGTAACATATCGTAATGTGTATTTTTTTTTCTCTTCTGTCACTCACGTGTCATTGTTCGGCGATAATTCAATTTGTGAATTTTGATGAATGACCATATAGTAGTACATAGTGAAAGAACCAACAAACACAAACTCCAGATTTCAAGAATAACTATGCTGTAATCTATCGTTTTCGAAGTCTTTGATATTGAATGTTGTTGATGTGATATTATTGCTGTACTTGTAAAATTAGCATGTGGATAATCGTGAGTCATTTCAGCCAACCAGGATGGTGTCAAATGGATATTATCACCATTTTTGTGTCGAACAGCAAGATAGAGAATGATAGAAATCATTGTACAAGAGAAAACAATTATTCCAACAAATAGACCTTTGATGGATGCATAACAATCGACTATGAAAACATTTTTTGTTGATTCTTTATCAGATATGTTATGTGCAAATGTTTTTCCGATATTCTCCCAGATAAGAAAGAACAGCTATGTAGAATCAATTAGACATGTATAGAAATGAGCTAGAAATAAGAAGAACTTACTGTTAGACACATGAGACTAAATTCGATTGTACATGGATATAAAAGTGGTTTCAATCTCATGTAACCTTCGAGGATGAAGGTAGTAATTGGTAATGTGCTGTTGGCAAATAAATTTGAACACTCCGAATGGAAAATCAGTAGACGATGAAGAAGACTGATTGTATCTTGACTGTCTGATTTTTCGATTTGAAAAAATATATGAAAGGCGAACAAAAAAAAATGATAATCATGATGAATACTTACTATTATTAAAATGGCTAGCCGTACTACTGTGTTGTGCTACAATCATTTCATGACCATTTATTTCCGCAATTTGCGAGTTCGTTTCAATCACAACCATGCGAAACCTGTCAAAATATATAATGAAACATTGTCTTATGATAATAAAATTTCGTAGAAATATTTTTCGATGAAATGAAAATTGTTTGTGACTACCAATGTTTGAAATGATGAAATTTAGAATCAACTAAATGATAGATGTGATGATCCGTCTTTATTGAAATCATGAAGAAACATGTCCGAATCCTTTAAGAAATCAATAGATCTTTTACAGAACGAAGGATTTTACTATTCTACTTTTCGAAGATAATATTTTCATCTATGAATACTCGAAAATAAAAGAAAAAAGTCTTTCTCATTATGAGTGATAGTGAACCTACCATACACATAAATTGGTGACGACAATATGAACAACTGCCAATCGAGCTATATTCTCATGGACTCGAATGATGAGCTAAAAAAAATGATCAATCTTCGACTTATCTTTTGATATTGTATTATTTCAGAAGAACATACATTTGAATGTTTGAAGATAAAGAAGAATTGAATGAGACTGAAGAGTAATCGTGAGAAATCGTCGATTACAGTTGTCCATCGTAAACATAAACGAATTTCCAAATTACTTAGAATCGATAGACTTGAATGAATCATTGTGCCAAGACAAAAAACTAGAATGATCCTTTTAAATGATCAACAGTATCTCATATTTTTTGTTCAACTTACTTCCAATGCCTACACGAGTATAAAGACCACTAACAATAAAATTGTCATCATAATTATAACCAATAACATGTTGGACAATACTATTTTTTCGATGATGTATATAAGTTTTGAGATCATGTTGTTCGATTGGATCTAGAGCACGTCGTCGAGTAAAGATATCTCGTGTTGTATCTATTGGTGATTTTGTTCCCAATGATTGATGCGAGACATTGTCCAAAGAGTTCAATTTACTGTGATGATCATGAAAACTAAATGTATCATTATTGTCTGTTGATAGTTTATTGCCGTTTATCTCTGATTGTTCATTATCGTTGTCATCTAATTGATCTTTTTTCGGTTCATCAAATAATTGCACATTGATAAAGGATGTAATCGATGATTTTCCATTTGCTTCTGATAATATTGGTAGAAACTTGTTTCGTGAGAGACGAATATCACCAATTAAACTCATTCGATTCGAATCCACTCGGTTCAAAGTATCCCTAGGGATATTGAATTTGCGTTGATGATGGATGATATCAATAATACAAAACATAATCCAAATGATGGATATCCAATATAGATAGGTGAAGTAGATCTACGATAAAGTGAGATCAATATTATTAGTGAGTCTCAGTTCTTTTTTGGATGCATAGATTTACCTCAGTCAAGTGTTTGATAAATTTAGCTTCTTCTTTTGATACAACAGCATGCGAAATTGAAAAGGCCACACCACCAATGAAGACGACTAAAAAATTATAGTATTTATGTCAATCATAATAGACCGAGCTAATTGTTTCGGAATGTTGGGAGAAAGATTAATTGGAACAAAATTTGAGTTTATATTTACAGAAGTTCGAATAGAGAAAATAATTAGTGAACAATTGAAAGGAGTTATGTGACTGTTTGCTATTTTTACAGTTAGAGTCTACCGATGGGCTCTTTTTTTTTCTCACTCCAACTATTGTACTCTTAGTCGAATACGATCATACCACAACAGCTTCTCTAATCAGAGCAGTGTCTTACAATATTTAGTTTGAAATTTTTCTTCAATGTTATTGTCAATTGAGGAAGGTCTATTAATAAAAAGAGAATTATCAAATATCTTTCATTGCTGATTTTAGTTCAACACTGGATTTCAGTCAATAAAAGAAAAACAAGTTGAATCGAAATATTAGGATTTATCGATATAATATTTCAACATTAAAATCATTTCAAACGTAGTTTTCGAATAATATTTTCTCTTGAAAATAGTTAACCATCATTCAGATTATTTTCGTATGAATTCATGGATTGTGATCGATCCGAAATTCACGAATAGATTTCTTTCTCTGATTTTTCTCTTGATCAGTTTTAATTCAATAGAATCATATCTTATCGATCTTTTATTTCAGACTGATTATTCACTTAAAGCTTTTACATGGACTGACTTAACTTATTCAGCTCTACTATCGCACAGGATTCGAACTACGTCCATTTTTTTCTTCTTACATAAAAGGTCTCTTTTATCATCACCATAAATGACTCGAGTCTCCACGTTCATTTAGTCAACAATAACAATTAATTACAAAATTGAATCGATTATAACTGTTAGAATCGAAACAGCTCGGTTTTTGATGATTGTATTTGTTTGTATATAATCATCAGGAATCAATTTGAATCAATTATATCGAATTCAAATCAAAATAATTCGATTGTTGATGATTATTGAACAAAGAATTATAATTGATTACAGTGGATTCTAATCGAAGAAAGATTCAATTTTATTTAAATAAAATCATAATATAATCGATAAAAATTGATTTTCTCAGAAATCAATTTTAATCTCCAAAATAATTCATCTAATGATAATCGATTCATTTTTGTATAAGTCGATTTTACTCATTTCTTGCATGATTATTCGCTTAAATTTTTTTTATATATAATTTTTCCTAAAAATATCAGTTCTTTCGATGGAATCCTGGTAGAGTTATACGTCAAAGATATAATTTCTAGAATGTCTCACAACAAGGACTAAGTAGATGATTACTGTAATATATTGTCCATATCTTGAAAATGCAAAGAGCAGACATTATCATTTATTTCAGCAAAGTTTATCTTTCATATTGACTAAATACAGCAATATTTCAAGTCCTATTCAAAATGGAAATCTAACATCAGAATCACATCCCGACTACTTTTATTTTCGTTGAAAAATTTAGTTCGGATTTTTTGAGGGATGAATCAAAATATTAGTTTGACTGTCATGGCCTTGGCCATGATTCCTCCTCTCTCTCTCTTTTTCATGCTTAGTTCTATGCTATGCTTTTTTTCTTCGGTGCTTGCGTGTCTTATATGTATAGCTTCATCTTATGGTATGCACATGTGGATTTTTTGACTCGCTCTTATTCTGGGATTCGGTTTCAGTCGTTGTTTTTGTTTGTTTGATGATGATACAGTTGTATGAGTAATCACACTGGCTTTCATAAAAGAAGTTCTAAATCTTAGAAAGTCTAGAAAAGTGAAAAGAGCAGACAGATGAATAACAAAAATGATATTTTAATTGAATATATTTATCTTTACTGATTCCTGAGGGGATCCGAACTGAACTTTTAGATAAAAATATATGTACTTGAAACATTGTGTGACATACAATGGTGCTTAAAGTCATTTATACATCTGAAGAAAATGATAAAATTACGATTGAATAAATGGAATTCAAGAACTTATATTGTATCTTTTTTTGAGCGTGATAACACTTTAAAAATTTGTGTTTCATGAAGTTTTACGCATGTTGCTATTAGAAAAAACTGTTTTTATGCTGAAAGTATTTACAATGGTAATACGTCTCAATACTAAGCATGACTTACCCAAACCATAGAGAATACTGAAGATCTTGTACACATCTGCGTGCTCATAATTGATTCTATACAGAAAAATAAGACAAGAAATCAATACAAATGAAATTAAAATATGATTCATTTATTCTTCATACGAGATTTTTTTATCATTTCGTTACTTCCACGCTTCTTTCAATTCGACCATTAAACAAATGGTCTCACGCTGACCTCATTTACACCGACACTTATATTCAACATACACTCAACACAAATTAGGGAACATGCATTTGTGAATAATGAAAGAAAATATCCTATATGATCAAGCAGAAGTGAGATAGGTTCCTTTGAAAAAAACGATATCTCCTGTAAAAAAAGATCCAAAAAGTCAATTATTATTTTAAAATCAATCCAAAAAAAATCACATTTACTGGATTTTTATCGATTATTATTCTCATATACAATGTATCGTCAAAATAAACTGTGCCTCAAAATTAGTTTATTAACAATGGTAGAGAAAAAAAACTTAATCTTTCGGATTATCAAAGATTCAGTCATAGAAAGTGACACTTTTGTTTAATGACATGTAGGTTACGAAGAGAGTTCGAAATTTTTGGCTGTGAGAAAAGAAGAACAACGTTCTGTTTATGCAAGTTTTAAACTATTCAATATCCCATCATCATTCAATTTATAGTGCTTTCCAAGAGTTGTATTAAAGTACATTTGATCCTTCTATATCCAGTCATAGACGGATGTAAAATACAAACATGGAGAATCTTTGAAAAAAAAAACCAACTCTAAGGCATAAAACTGATTGAAATTTTTACGAAATATAGAAATCATTATTCTTTCTTAGCTATTCGTTAGATAAATGTGTCGACAATGATTGAAAGCATAAGCATGGTAGTGATTTATACAAAGGAACAAAATACCTTTTCCGAAATCCTGCATTGATCACTTCTTCTTCTCTTGTCACTTTATTTGTATATATTATCCCTGCCATGAATACAATGACGGACTGTTATATCCTGTCTCTTCCGAGTATATTCTTCTTTCAAAATGATTATCACCATCATACAGAGAATAGCAGAGAACAAAGGAGAGAGAAAAGCAATGCACAAGATAGTGCAAGAATGGAAGCACAGAAGCAGAGAAGCAAGGTACGTGACGAAATGTCATGACTCTAGTATTAATTTCGTAACATATCTCCACGGCCACTTGATGAAGCGTCTCACCCATCACAACATCAAAGAGAACGAAAGCATATGTTACTTTATCTCAAAGAGTTAGAAATAAGGAAAAAGAATTTCAACAAAAAAA